CATTGCTATACTACAGAAAACTGAGTATAACTGCAAGCATTTTATGAAACATGGAACTAGTCTCTTTTGTTCCTTCATTATTTTTGTTAAAGTGTATTTATCTTTATTGACAGCCCCCCATGTTACTGTCTGTAGTACAGAGAGCATTAACCTCACAGATACCACAGTGTGTGCTTTGACAGGTAAATTGTTCTAGGCCTGGAAAACTTACAGTGCTACTGTGAGATGCACTGGTGGTACCACCGGCATGTGGTGTGCCAGCCAGCTCAGTGGGGATCAGTGCTGCACCACTAGGGTCAACAGCCCAGGCAGGGTGTGAAATTTTTTGAAAGTGTTTTTCTAGTGTTACCTTTTTATGTAAGAAGTTTCAGAAATGACCCCAGGAGTGCTGTTTGTTTACCACTGAGAGCAATGATCTTTCTAATCGTTGAGTGGGTTGAGTGTAGCCCATGCCACACTGAAGCCTGTCATCTCTGAAGGCTAGCTGTGTGTTTGTAGACTAACAACATGTCCTTAATGTGAGAATCCAAATAAAGTGCTCACCCTCCAGAGTCATTTGCCTTTGCAAACTCTTGGGAAGAGAGGCACCTGCCTGATGCTGTGTGTTGGTGGGGTTAGGCTCCTGCTGGGCCTCAGGAAGCTGCTGTGTTAAAACAAGGCACTGATGCCCCGGTGCAGCCATCGATGGCTAGTGCAGTGCCAACCATGGCAAGAAGCAGCGCTGCTGTTAGAGGAACCATAGGATGCACTTGAAAATCTTCCTGTGTGTGCAGCAGCAGGACTGAAGGCACAGGGAAAACACCTGCTTCCAGGGAACACAAATGTGTTAATGTGGGTGGGCAGTAACTCCTGCTGGCTTTTGTCACTGGCCGTTTTTGTCCATGCTGTAAGCAAGGGTCCTGTTGTGCTCTTCTCTGATACAGCTCTGTTGTATTAATCTTTGCCCCTTCCCAGAGAAGGGGCTTAGAGCAGGGGCTTAGTCTTGTGTAGTGTGTAGAACCAGCTAAGAGAGCTTGGATGAGTTCTGCATGGGTAAGAGCTCTGCATTCTGAGAGATGTTGGGAGAAACTTATTCTTCTCATTAGACTTTCATTTCCAATTAAAGCAAAAAAATCAAGCAACAACTCTGACCATATACAGAGATGCTATGCATCTGATGATAGCAGCTACTTGATTTCTTCTTTCTAAGCCAGTTTTATCTTGATGCTGAGTACCTGGCACAGCCAAGTAAGTGTGTTCAAAGCATGCTAGCAGTGTCGGGTCCTCACTGTCCTTCAGCAGCTCAGTGTTTTATGGAGCTTATTGCTTCTAATGTGAAGAACTCAAGCATGTATGCTTCAAAGATGCCTCCTGAAATTCCTACGAGTAATTCAAGGAATATAAACACTGAAAGGGGTGAAGGAGAATTGTTTTTAATTGTATGTGAAAACTTCCAGAATATCCTTTGTAGTGTAATCTTATCTATGATATTAATGTATTTGTTCTAAAATATTGCAATCAAATGCAACAGCATGATATTCTGCTTGTTTATTCTTAAGGCCAGCCATGTTGATTTACTATGCTTCTTTTGTAAGAATTTAATATAAATTTGGGGAAAAAAGGGGGGGAAATTGAAGAAATACTCATGCAATGTATGTTTTAAAAGATTTGATGCAGGTAGCAGTGTCCTGCAACTTGTTGATTTCAATGATAATGTCAACTAATTAACAATCTTTCCACCTCCTGCTGTTTATTACAGATGAGCTCAAGTTTTTAATGAGTTTCTATAGCTCCTTTGGGAGAAGGGAAGCAGATGAGTGAAATAAGAAATGTAAGAAAACTAAACAAAGCTGGTACTATTTTTTTTAAGAGATAAAGGTTAACAAAAATGTTTCTGAAATGTTTCATATTTTTGTATATGTATGTCCTCAAGTTTGTGCATTAGGTAAGACAAGGTGGTGCAAGTATAGAAAAGTTCTGTGTAACAAGTTCATTTTAAAATATAATTGAATTCCCCAAAGATTTTAGGAAAAACAGGAAAAATACCCTGACACATTACTCTCAAACTTTGAGAGATGGGAAAGGTTACTTATTGACAGCAGTTGGGATCCTTAGTCCCAAAGGCCAGAATTCAGACAAAGAAGTCACAGCAATATCTAGTGGAAAAGATAATTATCAGGAGACTTGTAAAAGGTTCATAAAAAAATCAGTGTTTTTCAGTCAATATTATCAAAGACTTAAACTAAGAAAAATAAATCTTTACCTAACAGTGCTATCCAAGATGATGTTAGGCCTGTGTTAAACTAAAAAAGAGGAAAGCAAACAATCACTTCTGTTTTTTATTGCAGGTGCTTAAGAGGTGCTTTTGCTGAAGGTTAGTTTACTGCAGCTACCTATTAAATCATCTGTCATCCTTCTCTATAGCTCAAGAAAGCTATATAAAAATGGGTGAGTAGCATGTTATAAAATATTTAGTGTAGTTCATATGAAAGCAGAACACTAAAAGAATATCTGAAAGCAGGAGGTGCCCTGTTGGTTTTTGCCAGGCCTGGGACGCTGGGAGCTGAGCGGTGCCCTGTCACAGCTGGGTCCTGGGCTCTGCCCCAGGAAGGCCCTTAGAGGTGGCTGAGCCTGGCTTGCTTGGGACTCACTTGCTGCTGTTGGTATAGGCATCATGACTGAGGAAAGATGGATGTGTCAACACTCATGCACATTAAGATGTTTATGTACATCTCAATCCCTACGCTGGGTTGTCTGTGGCATTGCTGTACAGTAGTGAGGGCAAAATTTGCTCTAGGTTTCCCCCGGGAGCCTTTCTGAAGGCCCAGGAGCAGCGACCTGCTTGGCACCTGCCAACCTGGACACTGGTGGTTGAAAGGGCCCCCAAGGTTTCTGTGGCTTTAGGCCACTAAGTGTGGTGAAGATCAAGGCAAGTGCAGTGCCATGGCTTGGGGAATGAGACTCGTTTTCTTCATTCTGAGCAACAGAGCCTCTTTGCTGCCATGTTTGTGCTCTCCTGTGCGTGTTCTACTTTCTGTGTCAAAGATGTTGTAGTATGATGTTGTAGGAGCATGTTCTTTTTGTTGGGAGGGAGAAATCCAGTTAATTTTAGAAGGCATTTTTAATAAAACTGTGTTGTTGGCAGAGACCTTTTCATGGCACTGTGCTGCCTTTATTGAGCAAAGCAAATCTCTCTGTGTTAGGTTCAAAGTCAGAAGTAGAGCTGGGTGTCTAACTTGCTTAGATAATTTTGAAAATCCTGCTAGGCCTGTGTTTGCGTCTTTTTGGCACTGAAATGCACTTGAAAATCTGGCTCGAGTTATTAGAATAACACAAAGGAATAATAACTTATGTTTTTCATGCCAGAAGGGTTTTACTGGCACCAAGCATCTTGATGTTACACTGGGGGAAATTATATTTGCATGTTTGAGAGCACTGAATTAATTATAACATGAAATAAGGCTTTGTTTAACATATGTAAAGAATCTGTTCTCAAATACATTATTCCTTGTAGGGCTTGAGATAAGTAAAGTGTCCTACCAAGCCCAGGAAGGTGGCAAGCAGGGAGATGGCTGGTGTTCAATGGTTGATTAGTAGTCTGGAAAATGGACACAGAGCAGCCACAACAGGTTGCTCAGTCTTATTGCTATTAATTTTATTTTCTTCTTTGCTGCTATTCTTTTGTTTAAGCCTCTTAAAGTCTGCTTGTCCATTTTCTAGTTCCCTTGAAAATGTCTCATAATAGCCTTGAAATAATTTATTTTGATAAACTCGATGTTACAAATTGGAAGGAGAAATGGATATTTTGGCTTCTAGGCAAGCCTGAGGCAATGGAGGAAACAATTTGAGTTTAGTGTACGTACTGAACTCTGTGTGTGTGTGTGTATATATACTTTTTCACAGCCTCAGGAAGGACCCCAGAGCTGAAAGCTCTATATTAATTTTTGATAGTTAGCCTCTATTTTGGTCAGAGCTATTTCTTTGTACTTCTGAAAGTATACAGCTGAAGAAGCAAGAGCTTGTAGGGCTTGGAAAAATGTCAGTAATACTTTTATGGCTTAATTTTAAATTTATAGCCATTCTGGAGAAATAGTTTTTGAGTCACTTCTCCATAGCTCATGTATTATCTACGTCTATGATGAAATGACTGAAATTAAAAAAGATTAGACAGGATTTTCCAGGTTGTTTCCTCTCAGACATGAGCACTGAGAAGTGCAAATTATAATGTTTTTGAGCCATCCTGGAGCACTGACAAACTCCAAATGTGCTACTAAAAACAATCTAAAAAACCCAATCTGATGGAGGAGTGGGGGATATTCAGCACCAACTCATGTTTTTTCTGCTAAAATAAGCACATGTGCTATAGGCGGGGTTGTTTGCACTCATGCTCTTTCTCTGTATTCTTTATTGCCTTAACAGGTGATTTATTGTAAAACTCATTTTAAATGTTTATTCTTTTCTTATTCTTTGTTAAATAAAGTATCCGCTTTTAATCAACATGTTATTAAATGACAGAACTAATGGGAAAATTATGAAATATTATGTAAAGGAATACAAGCCTTCAGACTTAGTTACACGGAAGTGCACAGAATAGTCTAAAACAGATATATACAATCAATGCAGCAGTAGAAGAATAATTTTCTTCTCTTTTTAAAATCTACTGAAAATGATTATGCTCCACAATACAGTGAGATCTGAAAACAGAGGGGTCTATGCCATTAAACCAACTAGAGACGTGGCTCGATATGCTGAGTTAATTTTGCTTTCTCAATGTTACTTGGAAAAGCCTTTATAGGCAATGGTTGTTTTAAGGAAATAGGTGCAGATATGTTCTCTCTGGAGAAGTTTTCTGCAAGGAGTGCTGCCTGCAAGGGGTGTTAGCTGGCAGACAGTGTTGCATCTGGTTTTGATTTCAGAAGAGAGGCAGAGGAAAATGACTTCAATGGGTGGTGACATTAAGTACAGCTGTTGCCTGGCAGAAGGCATGAGAGCTCCCTTTTACCCAACCTAAAATTCTCCTACCTTGCATCATGGAGAGGATCAGAGCTCCAGCTGCAGCCTCCCAGAGGAAGAGGCAGAGAGAAATGCAGTCCCCAAATGCTCCCTGCACCTATGAGATCAAGTTCAATAAATTTGTCATTTTTATTATGCAGAGGAAGATGGGGAAGACCAGAAGGGCATTTCTGATGGAGCTGGCGAGAAGAAAAGGTTTCAGAGTCGAAAGTGAGTTAAGGTAGGAAAACCTTCGTATGTGTAAAAGTTAATAGTCACAATGCTTGAAAATTTCCAATTTAACAAATGCAGTTGTACAAGTGATTGCAGTGGAAGCCTTTGTGTCTTTGGATATACATTGCTCTTCCCACTGTAACAATGTTTTACTGTTTTAGCATGTGTTCTTGAAGTGCTGCTCATTCCTGTTATCTTCTGGGAAGAAACCAGAGAACAGGCAGAACACTCATTAGCAAAAATGCTAACTTTTACCTTTAAAATCTGTCTTTCTAATTTATCTTAATCTGTCAATTTTAATGTGTTTGCACTTCTCCATGCGCTGCTTCTCACATGGAAAATCAAATAGATGTAAGGTCTGACCTTGCGAAGGCTTCTCCCACAATTTGTTTCTGCATTAGTGTAGTCTCACTGGCATCAATGAATCATGTCTTCAGCTAGATCACGGGGACAGTTTTGTGGAGGAGGAGATATGTGCTAGAGCAAAGAAGTCCTTAATTCCTGAAATGAAAAAAAATATATATACTGGCATGGAAAATCCAATGAGCTGACAGGGATATATTTCTCTACAACATTTCTGGCATACTAATACCCTTCCTTTGAATTACGCAATTTGTTGAGTTTCAACATAGTGACTTTTTAAAGAATTGCTGTCATGCTTTGCTCATATAGAAAAGCTCTGTAGAAAAGGCCAAGTAAGTAAATTTCTCAGAAGTTGCATTTCAGGATGAAGGTGTACTCCAGCTGCAGGTTCATATGGTGGTGCTTGGGTAACATCAACCTGGTTGATAGCCAGGTTTCCTCCAATTAGCCCTCTTCATGAACGCAAGTTGTACCATTAAGTAGTGTTTGATAAACTTCCTGAAAAGTTGGAAGAAACACAAATATTGATTATTTCTCTGTATCTGTATGGATACTGGGTCTTCCATGTAAATCCTCATTTTCCACAGATTTTTTCAACCCCAGGAACATTGAAAGGCTGAGGAAGGAAGAAAGTTCTTGAATAGAAATAATTTGTATAACAAGATTCAAGGAGGTGTTGTATAAAGTTAGGCTGTTAGTCTAATACAAAACTAATTGAATTTGAAGAAAAAAAATGAATGGTGCTGTACTGAATCCTGCATTAACCATCCACTGAGGACTGAGAATATCTGGGCTGCTTCCGTGGTGGTATTTATTGCTGCTATTTCAGCCCTCCTTTAAGGTTGAATTTCTATAATGCGAAACAGACAGGTGTATGTTTAATCCTAACTGCTACTTGATAAAGCAGACCTATTTAACTGTTAATTTTTTGGTTTTGAGAATTCTGGAGGAAACGTTAAATTTGTTATGTTCTGTGCCAAGAAAAAACACAGCTGTACAGGTACCAGAGGAAACTGGTGCACAGCAACTAAACTGCTGCTGTGAGCATAGTGATGGCAGAGTTCCCAGATCTACAGCATACATTAAATATGAATAATTTATATAAAGTAAAATAAACCACAGGAAGCAGAAGTTCTGTTTGTCTGTTTTTTTACCCAAGTGGTGACAGTTTAATTAAAGTAGAGCCTAGTGGAGTTAATTTAAAAAAAAAAAGGAGATTGACCTAACCTAGATTTTTCATCTTTTAGATTATAAAAAAAAAAAGGCCATTTTTTCCAATGGTGTCTCTACAAGTTGAACAAGATAAAAGGACTGTTATACTGTGACATTTTTCTTATTTCTAAAATATAGGACCTAAGATGCACTTTTTTCCAGCTCTTCAAAATACAGTAGATTAAATGCTCTTGAGGGCTATGTTGTAACAGTTTTCTATGGATAACCCTGCAGTATTTGTTTTTGTGATTAGGCAATTCAGTGAAATCAGTGACTGTAGGTATGAATCAGGGTCACTGGGGTAGGTCAGGGTTTTGCTGATCTCTTAAAATGTAGCTTGCTTTGAAAGGTTACGTGTGATCCATATTCTCCAACATTTAGCACAGCTCTTCTGAAAGTCCATATTAGCCAGTCATCTTCACCAGAGGGGCCCTGTTAAAAACAGGGTAAAATCACATTAGATGTGTATGCATTTTCTGCAGTAAGTTTAGAAATATAGTGGTTTATCTCAGTTAATTTGGTCATAAATTTTGGAGATATTGAGGTCCTACATATTTCATGAAAATTAGTTAGGTAAAGACAGAAATGCAGCACATGACACAGATAAAGGAGAACCAGATAGGTGTGTGAGAACAGCCTTGTGCTTTATTTGCTTCTAGAGACCTCACATGGGTGAGAACCTTTATAAATGCTCTTGATGCTGGAGTACCATCAACTGGAGATTGCTTTTGCTTAGATCCCAAAGCCCATCAACCTTGAAACACAGGTCCTTAGCAAATCTGTTTGGGGGATGACTTGATCTACTGTCTATTTGAATGGGGTCCTTAGTTTCCTCTTTGGTCAGTTATTAGCTCTGTGGGTGACTCTATAAAACTGATACTGTGGAGACATGCTAGACAGTTCACACTCAAAATTTCTTACTGTGTTGGTAGTCTTCTAAACTTCCTGAAGAATATCAACAGGCCAGGAAATTTACAGGCTCTGACAAATACGTATGTAGTTTCTTGAAATGTAAATGTTCTCCCTGTCTCCTCTTTACTAGATAAGATGCAAACCAGTCATTCTATTTAGAAATGAAGTCTCTGTAAATGTTCTCCCTGTCTCCTCTTTAAAGAATGACTGCTTTGCATCTTATCTAGTATAGGTGATTCTTTCTCATGTTATTCTAATATATCAAGCTGACTTTAGCATAGTAAACCTTGTGCTACCATATTTTTCTGAAATGTAAATGTTCTCCCTGTCTCCTCTTTACTAGATAAGATGCAAACCAGTCATTCTATTTAGAAATGAAGTCTCAGGTGATTCTTTCTCATGTTATTCTAATATATCAAGCTGACTTTAGCATAGTAAACCTTGTGCTACCATATTTTTCAGCAAAGCAATTTTTCAACTACTCTATCTGTTTAACTCAAACTAAGCTATTAATTTTGAGTCAGCTAAACCAGGTTTTCTAAGGCTGGTGACTTACTAGCAAGAAAGGAGGTCTGTAGGAGGAGTGCATAATTCATAAGAGTTGCTCACAAATGTTTGGCAATACTGTAAATAATAAAGAAATGAAAGAAAAAGAGCTTATTTTTGTGTGTTTCTTGACAGTGACTCTGTCACCCACATTGTGGCAGAGAACAATTCCTACCTGGAGGTATTGGACTGGCTGAGGGGGCAGGCAGTGCGGGACAGCTCCAGGTTTGAGCTCCTGGATATTTCCTGGTTCACAGCCTGCATGGAAGCTGGAAGGCCAATTGAGTTGGAAATGAAATATCGGCTCATGGTAAGTCAGATACTTCAAAGTGAATACAATGTCATGCAAAAGGAACGACTGTGACCTTACCCTCCCAGCCCCAAATATATAAAAATTATATACAAATAGGTTGCAAATAATTTTTTTTGAATTTATTTTTTTTCTGAAGCTTATATTAGTAATTCAATCAGTTCCAAGAAATTAAGGATACCTTCCAAACCTTTTCTTATATTGGCAGATACCCATATGATGTGTAAATTATCACACTCTTGCAATTTAGAAACTGAATAATATCTGTTCTTTATGCACAATTAGTGCCATTAAAGGGGAAACTTCATTCAGTGAAGGATTTGATTTTATTGTGGGATTTGTGATATTTCCACAAACACTTAACCATCATGGTAAAAATACTACTGAGAGGAATGCATTTAAGTGAGCTCTTGGAGGAATACTTGCTCTTCAAGGCAATACATGTTAAAATACTTTTCTTTATAGAAGTGACCAGCTGACTGGAAGACATTGATTTTTGTCAGGATCACTTTACTATAAAGTGCAGAGCACCTCCTGGGTTTGGTGGCCTGGAGCCTTGGGGGTTCTGTATGAATGATGCCACTGCTGACAAATGGCATGTGGGAAACCCATGAACACTAGGATCACAGCCCTATGCATCTCCCTGGCAGGTAGAGCATGTCTGAAAACTAAACAGCAGGAGGAGAACAGCGTTCTCATTGTAATCTTGATTTTTAGGATACAAGGAATGATTCTGCAATAAAACCTGCTTGTGATTCATTTTTCAGTCATCTTTCACTGCCAGAAACTATTTTCCCAGATTTTACACATAAAAATTGCTGTTTAATAACAATTTAAAAAGCAATGAATACACCAGATGGAGCTGTCGCTCCCAGACTCAGCATAATGCTGTGACAGAATGGGTGTTTATATTTGCAGTGCTCCCAGGAAATATTTCTACAGTATTTTTGCAATATTTCCAGTGAACCTGCTGAAAGGAGAATATGCTAAAATGTAAAAGATAAATAAAAGTAGTCACAAGATTTTTTACTATTATATAATCTTAAAGACAAACAGGTCATTAAAGTGTGTAAGTCCTGGGATTTAAAAAAAAGTCCAAACAACAGGAATCACAAACAAGATGAGCAAATCTATAAACCCCAATATACTATGCTGATTTTCACCAGGTTTAAAAGTGAACAAAATTATCCATTGTGCAGCTTCCACTTAATTTCCTCAGTGCTGAAAAGCCTGTGGCTTCAGATGGCTCAGGAAGTATCTTTTCATGGATTGATATTTTTCTTTTCAAAGCGAGAAATACCTTCACTTCTCTCCAATATCTCTAAATAGGCTGAAGCTTGCACTTTATCTGTGAGAAGGCTACTGAAAATTGAGCTGCCTTAGGTTTCTTTTATATAAAATAAGTAGGTCTTTTTGGAATAATACTAGGGCAGAAATTTCTGGAAAAAAAATGCTAGCAGCACTGTCGTGGGATCATTACTATATCTCAAGGCTGGCTCTGTAAGCAAGAGTTTCTATATTTATTGAGGCATAGAGGCTTCATGCTAATAACTGTAGAGCACAGCACACAAGCCTGCAACAGCTGTACTATTAGCTTTAAAACTTGTAGTTAAGACCACTCTTAATTGTATTGCAGTCTCCAAATACTAAGCATTTTTGTAATGCAAGGAAGCAAAAGAATTCTAGAAAGTCAGCAAAATTAAAACAATTTTGTTACTAAATATATCCTTGGAACCTTTTCTTGCCTTGATAAGTGAGGAAGGACTGGATTAAATGGTCATTTTCTCTTTAAATATTGGGTCTTGTAAATAAGGTAGGAGAACTGGTGCTTTACTGAAGACAAATTTGGTCCATTATGTCAGCCTTATGAAATGAAAGTGATTTAACAAACCTTGAACACAGGCTGTATCTAAGAGTTTTGGGAGTAAAAAATGGATGGCAGTGTGCAAATATTTGTATTAAAAACCCATCTACAGTGGGCTCTGATGACAATCCTAATTTCAGTAGTGCCAAGGTTTCACCTTTTAGGTCCCTCGGTAATCTGGAAGCCTAAGCTTTCTTGAGGGCACTTGTTTTAATGTGTTGTGGAAAGGAAATGTCCTTCATAATGCAAAACAAGGGGAATAAGTTAGAGTTACAGACCGTTAGGCAATGCACTAATTAAAATTGTCATTAAAGTGCAGACTGCTCTGCAAGATGCTCTGGTGTTGGAATGATTTATGTAGTGTAGAAGGTTGGGTGAGCAGGCCCAAGCTCGTCTGAACTTGCAGAGATTCATTCAGTGATAGTTGACTTTTATACTTAACCATGATTTAATTCTACCAAAGCAAGGCAGCTAAGCAGCAAATCTAAAGGGAAATGCAGATGTTTCTGTGCTTTTCCAACCTCCTTTGTCCCACTGCCACCCCCAAGCAGAGGAGCACCCACTTTGCCCCCAGCTTGGGGGTTTTAGGGGTGCTGGTGTTGCACAAATGTGCAAATCCCCTTCCTCTGGAGCCCTGACAGGAGTGTGGCATGTGGCAGGCAGCTCATATTTAACATTTTCCTCAGTGTCTCACTCTATTGCCTCATGAAAGAGGGAGGCTTTAACTAACGGAAGAAATCTTTCACATAGACAGAGTTCCCCAGAAATAAAATGAAACTTAGACTAGCCTTCCTCTGTTCATAAAATGCTGGCTATCAGCAGATGTTATGATCTGATCAGTGCTGTCTGGACTTTGCAAAGCTGCTGGCTGTGAGGGGCTGTGTCAAGCCACATTATGTAGTAGCTACCTAGGTTCCTCTTTCACCACTGTGGCTCTCACGCTCTCTTTTTTCCCTATGCTGTGATATCACTTTGCACATTCAAATATAAATGTGACCCAATGAGAAAGGTATTAAACTGAAAGCTCTAGTCACCAAAGTGTTCTCACATGCATACACTAATGCAATACCAATTACAGCCATTTTGCAGGTTTTCTGTAGCAACTCATCAGAATTAAGGTGTGGGTTTTATCAGAAGCAAGCAACCAGCCTGTGCTTTTGGAAATTTGCAGTGCCAAACCCTGTGTAGTCTGCTATAATTTGGTCTGAATGTAGTGGAGATGTCTGCAAAAGAGATTTCAATGCTTATATTTTGCTCATGTTTGTAGCTGTTTCCTCCCAAAACAATAAATTATTCTGAGGTTGTGAGAGTTTTGCAGCATTGCTTGTACTGCACTAATTGCCACTGGACAGGATGTTTTGTCCCATAATCTGTGCAAATTATATTCTTCCATCTGCTCTTCCCACCAAAAAGCAATAGAAATTCTGCTCTTGTCTTTTGCTGATGACAGGAAAAGATAATTTCTGTAGCTCTCATGCAGGCATCATAATATTCCCTACAAATCAGAAGGAAGCAATTAGAGTTGCAAGACACTTTTGCTATTGATTTCTAGCCCAATTTTGTTCTGTTATTTGTACAACCAAGTCAGGCTAATTAAGAGTGTAACCATGTGGATGCTGATTGAGGAAAAATGCTCAAATTTTGCTAAGGCGCAATGGGATTTTTATGTGCCAGTCTATCACCCTTCTAAGCGTGCTGAGGTTCTGCATTAATTTTACCCTCATTAGATGCCAGGTAGGGCTGTGCAGGGGGCTTTTTTCCTATGTGTCAGGTCTATGTTCTAATGTAGCTAATGGCTTACTGTGTGTTTTCTTCAGTAACACTATTCTTGTTCACAGCTCTCTCATCTGGCACCAGTATTTCAAGCAGTATATTAGCTATAATCAATCATAGTTTGTGATTTGAAATCACTTTTAAAGTATAATTCATGAATGTGCTCAAGAGTGGATGAGTAGAGCTGTTTATCCTGACTGAAGCCCATTTTGGTTATTCCCAAGAGTGAACTTAGGCATGAAATAACTTCCTTCATTGCAGCATATACTATGCAGACTGCCATATAACTCTCTCCTTTCAGCTGTATAAGCAAATGCCTTTTTTTGTGAATACTCTTATGTAACTACTCTGAATCAAATACAAAGGCATTTTAGTATGAAATATCTTATATGTGAGCATGTCACACACACATAGGTTGCCTAGCATAGCTGCTATCTATATACCTTTAATTTGAGAAAGGGACCGTTATTCTGTTATTGGGATGAAAATTTTCTTAGTGTATATGTGTGATCTATTTAATCATTTCCTGTGGCTTTTGGATAGTGGATGTAATTTGTTCTTGACAGATCTGCCAAATGCTTTCAGGAAAAATGATAAATGGGGAAAAAAATAACACAAATACTGAGAATCCTGGAAACACCCACAGAGTATTTCAGATTTGGGCACTTTGAGTGAAAGCAGAAGAACTCAAGGGATGGGTGTGTAAAGCAGTAGCAAAGCTGGTGCCAGCTACTCTGTTCCTGCTTGCTCACTGGTAAGGGCACTGATACATGAAGGATACAGACTGGGGACTCCCTTCTGCCATTTTGGGATATGAATTAACATATCCCACCTTGTAGGTGAATTCCCTCCTCACTAGGCTAAAGATACTCCTGAGGTTTGAGGTTGACCTCCGAATTTCTTGTCAGACTGGTCAGTGCCTTTTGCATGACACACAATGAGAAAAAAAAAAAGCAGGATCAGCTATGATAGTTTGTAGGTGCTTAGGATGTTCTTGCTTAAGGTTAGGCACCTGGCTCCTTTTCCTTCCTCCAGCGAACATTTAAAAGTAATGTGATGTGAATGAGCATGTCTGTCACCACATTATCAGGTGAGTGCTGTGGCTGCATGAGTGGATAGAGATGATGGTTTTTATGGCTGTTTGTAAATATTCTGCTCACTTCATAATGACCCCAAAATAGAACATTTTCAGCTGCATTCATTCAATTAAAGCTGAGACTATTTTCTTTCATTTTGCCTAGAAGACAAAAGGAGGCAAGTTTGCTGTAGCCATATAGACTTTTTTCTTCAGTACTACATTCAGCTACAAACTCAGTCAGTAATGTGAGTGCTACTATTTTTTCCTTCTCCATTTCACATTCCTGTTTTATTGAATCAGCTAGTGTTTTCTGGGCTGCAAAAAGCTGTCTGTTCTTTAAACTTTATCTGCTTTTAAGGCTTTGTAGTTTTGGAGCCTTTCTGCAATAACAGCAAAAGCAATATTTACCAGGTAAAAACTCCCTGATTTAAAATAACACACCTGAAATCTCCAGGCAAGAACTTTATTCACAAAATGAATACTCCTGTTAGTCACCTGGCTTATCAATGGTGCTGAAAGAAAATCATTTGATTTTCCTAGGTAGATAGGAAAGGCACTATTAATCTCTTGTTACATTTAAAGGAAGGTATTTTGGGCTCAAGAAGTAGATTTTTAGTATTTTAAACTAGTTGATATATGCAACACTACTTTATCCCTATCCCCCCTGCTTTTGTTTTTCTAGGAGCAAGATGAGTTTCCAGCTGTGAATACATGTGAACCAGAAGTGCCATCATTTACTGTAAGCAAAGTATCTCAATATTCATGTCAAAGGAAGACAACTTTAAATAACTTGAACAAGAAATTCACGGTAATATATATTCCATTCATGAGCTAGAACAAATAAAATAATACAATACTGGGGTCAGTGCTATCCATGGTCCCCTCAGTAAATTGATGAGTTAAACATTCAGCACAACTATTAACGATAAAAAAACTGCTATACTTAAAAGAAAACAGTGTACACCTAATTACATCTTTTATGTATTTCTGCTGAAAGCCTATCTTTAAATATGCTAATAGCTTGAAAGCACATGAGTTTTTTGGAAAACAATTGATAGAATGATGCTCTGAATGTCTTTTACTCTTTCATTACAGTCCTATTTGACAAGATGAAGGTGGTAGTAATAACCAGTTTGGTATTGTTCGGTTGAAGACACTGTGTGATTGTGTGTTGTACTCTAGTCTTTTCCCCAGGTGCTCAGATCCTCAAAATGAGGCTGGAAGCTTTGTATTTTCACATTTGCTTAATTATAAAGACAGATTGTGTGATCAAGGTAATCGCTTAACATGATGAACCCTCCTTAAACTGTCCAATTAAATAGGTAGCTCAGAAATTGTCATATTCCATTTAAATTCTTAACATTAGACTTCAGTAGACATGAAAAGACCAAGTCATCTGATCTAAATTCTATGTAGTCTTGTGCCTTATGTCCCCTCTTGGCTGGCTCTGGGCAGTTGGCATCAACTGGTAATAGGAAACATTTTAAAACATGCTATAATGTAATTTGGTCTGAATTGGTCTGGCCTAGATAAGTTCCTAAATTTTCAACTATGTGAAACAACTCTGCATCTTCCTGAAGGTTTTTTGTTTATTTTATTATTATATATTTTATTAGCTTTTACTTTTGGGCTGTGTGTAAGCATCTGTAAATAGTCGCAAATCTTACGATATTATCGTGAAATCTATATGAAAAGAAAATGCTATTTAGAGTAACAATAGATACTAGTATTTTGAAAATAAAGAAATACGATAATGTGAATATTAAAAACCCTGGAAGTTCAAAATCAAAGCTAAACCTGACAAACTTTCAAGTGTTTTGGTTTGGAAACAGACAAAACAGTTAAAAGTCAAACACAGCAGGTCTTGCCTTGTAGTAATGCTCTGAATTGAATCATTGGTCACGATGGACACCTATTAGTGTTTATAGTACTCAAGTAGATGAATGTGACTGTTTAGAAATTTTCCCTTTGTTACATAGTTGAGGAGAATTTAATCTACAATTTTTTTCTTCACAGCCAAGGCTTATACTTGGATAGGAATTGAGCAATGTGTTACTGCTCATATTGGATGGTGGCTACAGGGCTGGGATGATGAAGGGCTGAGATTGAACTGATGGAGGGCACCTGAGAAACTGGCTTTTAGTATGAAAAAGGGAATGCTTTATTGGTGCTAAACAGAAGATGGACTGGGCAGATGGAGCCGGGCTCTTTGCTGAGGTGCAGGATTAGGGAATGAGAACCAGAGGTCATGAAGCAGGAATTTAAAGGGGGAGAAAAAAAATTCACTATGAAAATAATTTAGCTTTGGAACCGGTTGTCCAGTGATGTTGTGCAGTCTCCATCCTTAGAGATTTTCAAAATATGATGGCATGAAACCCTCTTTTGAACTTGCTTTGAGCATGAGGTTTGGTCTTCTGAGCTCCTTTCCCTCCTGAATGATTGCATCACTCTAAACTGCTGCTTTCAAAATCTCTAGTGTTCAGCTTTCTTCTAGAGAAGCAAAGCTACATACTATGTTTTCATTTAACCTATTAAAAATAATCATTGTTTTTCCTGGTTCTTAAATAACAAATTTAAGTTGCTGTAAATAACGTGTCAGACTCAAAACAGTATGACCAAAAGGTTCTGGAAAATATTGGCCTTAGTAAAGAGATTTTAAATAAGTATCATAACTTCATATTTGCTGAAAACAAAGCAATATGGTAGATATTTTGAAAGTAAAAAGGGAAAAGGGAAAGCACAGGAAGTGTAATGGAAAATGGTAAAAATACAATGGCTCCTGTTAGAAGGCATGGTGTTGCCATGATTTTTGATTATTGATAAAATAATGAGCATAGAAAGATCCAAAATAAGTTTGCTGATTTTAATGATACATTAAAAAATTTTAACTTAATTTCTCTTCTATGTAAATTTTCACCTTATTTTTCTATTTTCAAATATTATAGTTCATAATACTATAATTCTGGGGAATATATAGTTCCTCTTCAAGTTGTCGAATTGCTGAATTTAGTCAAAATTCAATTCAAACTTTACTGTGAAACTATGTTAGCAGCAGCATATTATTTATTGAGTGGTCTCATTGTACCTGCTTTTCATAGAGAGGTAGTCCCTAAATTATTTCCAGGTTTTTCACTGCAGTAGCTTTAATGTCAAACTACAACTTGTACTTGATAAATTAGCTGAAAATGTTAGAAGGAATATACTTCAGTGATGGAGTACTGGGGCTATGTTCAGTTATCCCATATATCAAACATTTCTAAGTCTGTGCAGAAATTAGGTTTAGTGGCAACGAAAGGGGCCATTTTTCATCCTTCTGTCTTGAGAGAAACCCTTCCCAGGATCATGTTGTATTTTATTTCTGGAGGTGATACAGGACAAATTGATAACGCTTATGAGTCTGTCCAGCATTTGTATCTTGAAACTTATGATGTAGCTCCTCAGGGCTCTTTTTCCTCCTATCCAAAAATCTTCAATGACAATTGAAGACTTAGGTGTTTATGGACTGCAAGTGTTAACCCATTTTCTGGCAGACTGCCAGTCAGTCTGCCCAATGCCACAGGGGCTTGGTTTTAAGTTTTGTTGTTTTGTGGATCTTGTATTAAACCTATAATTCATGTTTGTGAATAAAAGTGTTCCAACAGATTTTTCAGTGCAGGCATTTAGCAAATGTAATGAAGTAGTGTTATAATTTGTCTGTGTGTGCTGTGGGCAGCCAACCATTAAATGATAGATTTTCCCTAGCTCAATGCTGTGCATCCCAAAATTAGGTCTAAACCATCCTGAATAATGGGCTGATGATAGAATTTTGTTATAACATCTTCATTCTATGAGGCAGAGTTATTCCTTTTTCTTACAGATATTCACCTTTCTTCAATTACCTTGAAAATATTGAGTTTTGGTCTTGCCTGTTACAGAGTCACAGAACTTTTATTTGCTTTTATATTTTGGATGAACTTAGGGGTCTTTGATTTTCCTAATGGATCTAGATGCCTTAATATCCTGTGTCAAATTCCTCCCTGGAATAAATAGAAATTGTATTTGAGAGGGAGTAACATGTATATTTGAGATCTTTTAGTCTGTCCACAATAGCATGAAAACAGTCACTGACAGGGCAGTGATGTGAGTGTACTGAGGCTTTGAATCTCCTGCCTCCTAGAGAGAGATGCTGTTGGAGACTTATTGTATGAAGATAACATAACTGTAGTCATCAGTTTTCATGGTGAATTGTTCAGTATATGTTTTACAACTGAAAGACTGTTTATTACAAGTAAAGGGCAGAGAGATTTCATGAGGGATCATGAAGACAATGTGAAGGAGGTCTAGTATGTGCAAGATGCAATTTCTTAGCGCTCATGTTCCCTTTATCGAGGAGGATTCAGGAAATCATTTAGGTACAGCAAATCAGTTTTACATCATGGGAGATGATTGAGAAGTAAAGTTTTCATGCCTATGTTCAATACGATGCAAATTATTAAAATATCACTTTGTGAGCCATTGAGTAGTAGCAGGACCTGTTGTTTATATGGAGAATAAACTTGGTATTTCCAGTCATGTGCCAAGGGAAAAATAGTGGCAATGTGTGGCAGCTTACATAAGAGAAATAAACCCCTTCAGATCTGTGGGGCTTTCTGCAATCTTTGGGACATGCCACAGGCAATCCTACTGAGCAATTGCAACTGCTCAAATGAGTAAAGATGCAAAACAAAAGACCAGATGATTACACCAGAGGCTTTGCTTAAACATCTTTCCTTTGTTTGTCTTAAACATTAATGTTATGATAGAATATGCTATTACAGTATTGTTTTCTGATTTATTTGGAAATAGCTAGCCATTCTCCCCCTCCCATCAAAAATAGACACTTGGGGGCTGCTTTGGGTTTTCATGTGGTAAAATAAATGGAGTCATTCTGCTTTGCCCAAGAGGGATTGCTGGATCTGAATATTAACACCAGACCTCAGTAAAATTCAGAGAGACATTCTTGCTTGAGAACAATTTAATTCCTACAGAAGAAACTAATTAAGTCAGTGGCAAATTGTCCTTTGATTCTGAGGCTTACTGCTAATTCTACTGACTGGTACTCTGACTTGGCAGAGTAACTCATGGTCATGAGAATATGAATGTCTAGCCTGGGAAAGATGGCTGATGTTCCTCCCATTCTCTAAGTGGAAAAAAATTAGTTTTCTTTTTATTTTCTGTTCTTTTTGTACCGAGAAAAATATTCAGCCATTATGTGAGTGACTCAAGCAATTTTTATTATTCCAATTCTATTTTATTGTTTTTAAAATTTTATTATTATTTTAGAACCAGATCTCAGGAGTCCCTCACTTTTAATTTTATAATCTTGAAGACTCTATAAAAGAAAATGGCTAGCTGAATACATGTTCTGAGTATATGCATACTGTGTTACTGATATAACTTATTTGAGTAAAATTCTCCAGACAGTACATCAAAATGGCAATGTGAAGTATGTTTCTGCCTGGAATGAACTGGCAGTTTGGTCTTAGGAGAAAATAATTCTTCACATTTTACAGACAGTTGACAGGATGTGCCCTGAAACACAGGTACAGCACAGAACACATGCACCCTTCAGCAGCTAAGGTGTTCTCATGTATCCGTCACGGCTGTTTTCTTTAGGCTGTTTTCTTTAAGTATATTAATACATGGAGTATCTCTTTAACATTTTATATTTCTCTTTTCCCTGTCCATTTTGATCTGCTCAGGGGCAGCATTACAGAATTGATATTCCTTACTTGTTCTCACAATTGATGTCTCATGTTATGCAGAAAAAAATGGGAACTCTCAAATATT